CATGTCCTCTTCGGTCATGTTTTTGCCCAACGCGCAGAGAGTCTTCATGGCACCGTCCTAGCGGGCGATAAGCGAAGAGAGGAGGGGGAGGGGACGAGCTGTTGCTGCTCAAGACAAGCAGGGGCAGGAAGGGAGGAAGATGGAGAGAGCAGGAGGGAGGAAAGGAAGGAGGGACGGACTGACGGACGGAGGAGAAGGAGAAGGAGGAGGAGGAGGGAGGAGGAGAAGGAGAAGGAGAAGGAGGAGGAGAAGGAGGAGGAGGAGGAGGAGGAGGAGGAGGAGGAGGTCGAGGTACCTGGACCATGATACCGCGAGTGGAGGGGTTAAGGGAGAGGGCGAGGAAGACGTGAGAGAGGAGATGATGGACTCCTAGCGACTCTTTTCTTGCGAGCTCTCCCATGACCCTCGTCCCCCTGCAACAGCATAACTTTCGCTCCTCCTCTCCTCCTCTCCTCTCCTCTTCTCACCTCGCTCGTACAAATCGTTCTCGAAATGCTGCAGTCCGTTCCTGCAAGACGAGGGTAACTTCAGCTAAGAAGAGGACGAGGACGGATGGCAAGGGAGCGAAAGGCGGGAGAGGAAGGAGGCGGGAGGAGGAGGAGGCTTCACCTCGACTTCGGCTCTCTGCTTCTTGATGTCCTCCATCTGCTTCTCCACCTCCTCTGCTCTTCTCGCCCGTCCCTCCTCGTCCGGCTCTGCCATCATCCTAAGTCGCTGCATCATCTGCTGACCCGTCAATCCCTGCCGCCGCCTCCTCCTCCTCCTCCTCGTCCCCTCTCTTCCTCACCTCCTGCTCCTCGTCCTGGTCAATCACTTGCCGCATCGTCGCGTTTCTCAAGCACAAGCTCAGGCCGTAGCTCACCTGCACTGCCTCAGATCCTCGCTGCCTCTCCCTCCCCCTCCCTCTCCTCTCCTTCCCCCTTCCTCTCCTCCTCCTCACCATCATGTCCGGGTAGCTGGCGGCTTCTTGAAGAGTCTGCACTCATCGAGAAGTCAAGAAGGAGCAGGAGGAGGAGGAGAAAGCAGGAGCAGCAGCAGCAGCAGCAGCAGCAGCAGCAGCAGCAGCAGGAGCAGGAGCACGAGGACTTGCCTTCATCGCAGGTTCAGAGACAAGGAGGTCACGGATACCATCGCAGTTTCTCTGAGAGAGGAGAAGAATACCAAGACCTTCAGCAGCTTTTCTCTGCTCTCAATCAGATTGCTTCCTTCTCCTCCTCCTCCTCCTCTACCTTTACTGAAATCTTTTCCGAACGGAGAAGCTCCAAGAAGAGATCTCCTCCTCCCTCTTCAACGATTATCTGACAGCCGATCCTCAACTCCTCCTCCTCTCTCCCTCCCTCCTCCTCCTCCTCCTCCTCCTCCACTACCTCACGTGCCTCCTCGCTCAGTGCGGCCATCTTCGCGAGGGCGATGGCGGCGGCGGCTCGAACTTCTTCCTACGTCTGGTGAGGTCGCGGGGGAGGAGGAGCTGGCGAACCTGCGGATCGGTGGCGAGGAGGAGAAGAGGAGAGAGGGAGCCCGCGTGAAGCAGTCGAGCGAGCGAGTCCGAACCGACCATGAAAGCGCTGCAAGGAGATGATAAGAGGAGAAGAGATGAGAAGATACAGGAGATAAGACATAACACATCACATCATACAAGAGATAAGACATAACACATCACATCATACAAGAGATAAGACATAACATATCACATCATACAGGAGATAAGACATAACACATCACATCATACAGGAGATAAGACATAACATATCACATCATACAGGAGATAAGACATAACACATCACATCATACAGGAGATAAGACATAACACATCACATCATACAGGAGATAAGACATAACATATCACATCATACAAGAGATAAGACATAACATATCACATCATACAGGAGATAAGACATAACACATCACATCATACAAGAGATAACACATAACATATCACATCATACAAGAGATAACACATAACATATCACATCATACAAGAGATAAGACATAACATATCACATCATACAGGAGATAAGACATAACACATCACATCATACAAGAGATAACACATAACATATCACATCATACAAGAGATAAGACATGACACAGACATAACACAGATGATACAGGAGGGAAGGGACCTGAGTAGCTCAGCAGCAGCCACCCGAACATTTGGAGGAGAGGAGAACTGCGAGCCATCAGCGAGAAAACCAGGAGCAGGGGCAGAGGAGCAGGAGCAGGTGGAGCTTGAGAGCGAAGAGAGTTAGCTTGGGAGGAAGGGAAGTGGAATAGGAGGAGGAGGGTGTGTGACCTTGGCTATGACTGCCTCGAGGAGAGCGCTGCTTCTTGTAAGTTGCACAGCGAGATTCTTGTCACTCTGCATGAAATGTGAGACGAAGAAATGGAGGAGCAGGAGGAGCAGGAGGAGGAGGAGCAGGAGCAGGAGCAGGAGGACCAGGAGGAACAGGAGCAGGAGCAGGAGGAGCAGGAGCAGGAGCAGGAGGACCAGGAGGAACAGGAGCAGGAGCAGGAGGAGCAGGAGAGAAGCCGGGGAGGAAGAGTGAGAGGAGTAGACAGCAAGTGCGAGAAGGGGAAGCGAGCAAGAATGTACCTGGGCGAGGAGGGCGAGGCTGGAGAGAGAGTTGGCGAGCTGAGAAGGAGGGGAAGGCGAGAGGATAACTTGCTTGAGAGGAGGGAGGGCGCGGTCGAGGAACAAGCTCTTGCTCTCCTCGTCTCCTATCAGATCCACACAAGTCTTGAAGACTGCCAGGCTCCTCGCCTGCAGCTCCTCCTCCCTCCTACCCGCAAACTCCTGCATACACTCCATCCCCTTCGTCCGCAAGAAGAGGCGCACGAAATCTCGAGCTAGAGCGTCGGTGGGCAACGCGAGCTTGACGAACTGAGAGAGACGACGATCAGAAGTAGAAGAGAAGGAGAGAAGAAGAGGGAGAAGCTCACCCAATCCATGGCAGCGACAGCCAGAGACTTGGCGTCCTAGGTCGAGAGTGAGGGAGAGAGCAGAGAAGCAGCTGGAGAAGGAGCTGGGAAGGAGGAGACGCAACGAGTCACCTCGTTCGCTTCCTCCTCGTGCCGCATGCTCTTGCTTGTCTTGACCATGGCGTCAACGATCAGTTGCACGCTCGAAGGGCTGCGGAGGAAAGGAGGAGGCGACGACTGAGAGGAGAGGGAGGAGGCGAGAGCCATAGCGCGAGCTGCTGTTGGGAAATCTGCGAGGACGGCGAGGGATGGGGCAAGACAAGCTTCATCGAGCACAGCTGCGACGGCAGCAGCTCCCTGCTGTTGCTGCGACACTCGGAGCAGAACGTCGAGAACCACATGTGCTCGCAGGTTGTGCTTGTTCACAAACCCTTCCGCTCCTGCTTCCGTTCCAGTTGTTCCTCCTCCTCCTCCTCTTCCTCCCCCTCCTCCTCCTCCCGCAAGGAGTCGGCAGAGTTTCTAACCATTCGCACGAGCGATCAGACCACAAGTAAGGGCAAGCGAGGTAAGAGGGAGAAGACAAGTAGGTGAAGCTATAGGGAGAGGGAGAGGTGAGGGATGAAGGGGAGGAAACGATCGAGCAAGGCACCTGCAGTAGTTCGCGATTGCTGATAAGCTTCTTGATGACGTCATCACAGTCATCTCCCACACAGGTTATTCTCCTCAGCCGGCGCAGGTTCTCTTCGTCGTCTTCTGCCTTGCCGTCTAGCAGCTCGAGCAGCTTCACCAGCTCCCGCAGCTTGTCTGTGCCTCCCGCTTCCTTCTCCCTCCTCTCCTCCAGCAGCCTCGCACATTCTCTTGCTCCTTCCACCTGCAGAGGCTATCAGGAGCCCTCACCTCCTTCTCCTCCCCCTCCTCAAGACCGCTGATGCCTCGTTGGGCTCGAGCCTAAGCACCATCCTGTTTCCACCCTCAGTTAGCGCTCCTCCTCCACCACCACCACCACCACGACCAGCATACCTGTAGTCTTCCATTGCCTCCCGTAGGGACCCGAGTTGCTGATGAGCCTTCAAGAGCAAGTGAGAGGATCTAGAGGTCCTGGTCTACAGCAGTAGAGGAGAGACGGAGAAAGAGGAGCAGAACAAGAGGAGAACGAGAGGAGAAGCGGGGGAGACCTGAGCTCTCCTGTACCATGCCTTCACACAGGACGAGTTGGACTGGATCACAGTCGAGCACGAGGCCAGAGCCTCTTGAAACCTGATGGCACATACATGAATGCGGACACTTGCCCCACATCCAGCTCTAGCACTAGCACTAGCGCTAGCTCTAGCTCTAGCTCTAGCTAGAGCTAGAGCTAGATAGCTCTAGCTCTAGCTCTAGCTCTAGCTCTAGCTCTAGCTCTAGCTCTAGCTCTAGCTCTAGCTCTAGCTCTAGCTCTAGCTCTAGCTCTAGCTCTAGCTCTAGCTCTAGCTCTAGCTCTAGCTCTAGCTCTAGCTCTAGCTCTAGCTCTAGCTCTGGCTCTAGCTCTAGCTCTAGCTCTAGCTCTAGCTCTAGCTCTAGCTCTAGCTCTAGCTCTAGCTCTAGCTCTAGCTTTGGGACTACCCGATTCTATAAGCTCTAGCTCTAGCTCTAGCTCTAGCTCTAGCTCTAGCTCTAGCTCTAGCTCTAGCTCTAGCTCTAGCTCTAGCGCTAGCGCTAGCGCTAGCTCTAGCTCTAGCTCTAGCTCTAGCTCTAGCTCTAGCTCTAGCTCTAGCTCTAGCTCTAGCGCTAGCGCTAGCTCTAGCTCTAGCTCTAGCTCTAGCTCTAGCTCTAGCTCTAGCTCTAGCTCTAGCTCTAGCTCTAGCTCTAGCTAGAGCTAGAGCTAGATAGCTCTAGCTCTAGCTCTAGCTCTAGCTCTAGCTCTATCTCTAGCTCTAGCTCTAGCTCTAGCTCTAGCTCTAGCTCTAGCTCTAGCTCTAGCTCTAGCTCTAGCTCTAGCTCTAGCTCTAGCTCTAGCTCTAGCTCTAGCTCTAGCTCTAGCTCTAGCTCTAGCTCTAGCTCTAGCTCTCGCTCTCGCTCTAGCTCTAGCTCTAGCTCTAGCTCTAGCTCTAGCTCTAGCTCTAGCTCTAGCTCTAGTGTCAGGATGTGATCTCACCTTCCCAGCTTGAGCAGGCAATGGGCTCTGTTGAGCTCGAGGACGGACGCAAGCTCTCGTGCCCCCTCGCTGGTCTCCCCCTCGAGCACACGTGCACCCTCACCGTAAGCGGCCTAGCGGAGCATGAGGAAGAGGACAAGAAGTGATGGAGCCGACGATGATGAGAACCAAGAGCTCGAGAAGGGAAACATGCAACACAAGACGGGACAAGAGACAAGCAGGATGAATATCAGTGCAGGCAAGAAAGAGGTTGAGCAGGGGGCAGGAAGAGAAGAACTTCAAAGTTTCTGACGAGATGAAGAAGCCAACAGGCACAAGTCAAGATGTAACAACAGATCGATGCAGAGGTTGATGACGAGGATGAGGATGGTTAGGAGGAAGTCGAACACGATATGGAATGAGAAGGCACAGCAGCTGAGAATATAAACATGTCGGAAGAGCATCGCACGAGAGGAGCCACAAGGGAGTGGGATCATGAAAGAGGGAGAGGTATCATCGAGCAGCATGTAGATCAGCATGGAGCAGCATGTAGATCAGCATGTAGAGCAGCATGGAGCAGCATGGAGCAGCATGTAGATCAGCATGGAGCAGCATGTGGAGCAGCATGGAGCAGCATGTGGAGCAGCATGTAGATCAGCATGGAGCAGCATGGAGCAGCATGTAGATCAGCATGGAGCAGCATGTAGATCAGCATGGAGCAGCATGTAGATCAGCATGGAGCAGCATGGAGCAGCATGGAGCAGCATGGAGCAGCATGGAGCAGCATGGAGCAGCATGGAGCAGCATGTAGATCAGCATGGAGCAGCATGGAGCAGCATGGAGCAGCATGGAGCAGCATGGAGCAGCATGGAGCAGCATGGAGCAGCTACCAGCGCCTCCTCGTGTCTTCTCCTTCTCGCCATCTCGTTCCCTCGCTCCCGCGCCGACTTGGCGACCTGCATGCCCGACAAATCCCGATAGTTGACTAATAATGTTTCCTGTAATTGACTAATATGTTTTGATTGTTTTATTGACTAAACCGTCAGACAAACTTTCTTAGACTCGCCCGGCCGGCGATACCGGCGAGTCCGGGTATCGCGTCTAAGGGATTTTATCCTCCTGCATGCTCCTGCTGCTTGTTGCTTGATTGCTTGACCCTTCGGCTGCTTGTCTGCGCGGCTTCGCGCTTGGGCTGGCGGTGCCGCGTGAGAGTCTGGGTGCCAGCAGTGCTGGTTCTTTTCGGGCTTTTGTTTTGTGTGTGATTGTGCAGCTTCTCGCTGTGCGTTGTGTGCCAGGAGGTTTAGCTTGTTCCTGCTTTGTTTTGCTTGAGGCACTTTTTACCTTCTGCCAGTAAATCCACTACTTCCGGCGGCCGCGGACGCAGAAAGAGTCAGCCGCCGACAAGGAGCCGGCTCTGCCCGGGGGTCCGCCTGGGGCAGCGGCCTCCTCACTAGCCTCCGAGTCAGCGGAGGCAGGCGGCGAGCTCGGACCAGCAGCAAGCACGCCCACTGGTGTCGAGTGGATGTTTCCCCCATCGGAGTCGGAGACCTCCGGCGAAGACTCCTCGGCCCGGCGGCGACTCGACAAAGTGCGCCTCCCGGAGGCCGACACCAAACAGGAGCGCCTCCAGCGTCAGCTGCATAGTGAGGCGCTGATAGGTGGCGGCGCGTCCTCAAGAGGCACCGGCCGAGCGCTGAGCAATGATGTCCGCCAGATACCAGATGAAGCGGAGGGGGTCAGGATGCAGAGTACCGTCCGTCGAGATGGCAAGAGGGATGAACGCTCGAGGAGGAGTAGTCATGGCATATCCAGCGCGATGTTTGCGAATCTTCTCAGACGCTGCAACATGAGGCTTTATGTGTGATATCTATGAATCACATAAGCACAACATCAGAACATAGCCGCTGAATCCCTTCTGCCAGTAAATCCGTATTCCTTCCTGTATGACCTAGTAAAGGCCCTTAAATAATGATTGATTACATACAGTGTTATACATTGCTTCTTCGGACATTTAGAGGCTGACAAATAACCGGGCCCTCTATTTGTTCCTTTTGATCACGTATGGTCACGACAACATCGCATGAGCTCTCCATCTCCCCACATTTATTCAATGAGGTTCTCCGGACATTTAGCGGGTATCGCGACTAAGGGATTTTATTCCTCCTGCATGCTCTTGCTGCTTGTTGCTTGATTGCTTGACCCTTAGGCTGCTTGTCTGCGCGGCTTCGCGCTTGGGCTGGCGGTGCCGCGTCTGGGTGCCAGCAGTGCTGGTTCTTCTCGGGCTTGTGTTTTGTGTGTGTTTGTGCAGCTTCTCGCTGTGGACTGTGTGCCTGCCGGTTCAGCTTGTTCCTGCTTTATTTTGCTTGAGGCACTTTTTACCTTCTGCCAGTAAATCCTATACCT